CAATATATAATATATTTTTATATATATATTTAAAATATATAATATTATAATATATTAAAAATAATATATAGGGGGATAGTTGTGTTTGATTTGATGATAATTTTTCTTATTTTTTTTCTTAAAATATAAAAACCGAAAATTGAAAATAAAATGACATATAATAATACTTTTCGTGCAAGAAAAAAAGAAAGAAAATAAAAGGAATTTATCGTTCGATATCGGTCACGTGGAAACACTCGATGATAAATGTTAAGCAGCTGCAACTGTTATGTACTAAAATAAACTGTATGTGTAAACGCTTCTTCTCGAGTCGTACTATGAGAAAACTATGCAAATAGGCAAAAAGAGAATCGAATTGATCGAGTTTGTTGGAAAGTAAATTTATCGATATACATAATAATAGTATATATATAATAACTATCGATTTTTCGAACAAAGGAAATTGTATACGTAAGTGTGCATGTGTGTGTCTGTGTGTGTGTATAACTGATCTATCGATCGTCGTCTTTATAGGGATATTCAAAGGATATCGTCAAGACGACGTTCCTCTTCCACATCCCTGCTATAGGAGTACTTCCATGGATTATGGTTGGTTCGCGCCTACAATTCATACCGTTCCTACAACCTACTATCCTCGAAATGCTTCCTTCAGTCAAGAAATTGGAATCGGTGGAATGTATCGAAATAATTCATTGAACACAGAATTGGACAAGACTATCGTTTGATATTATCAAATATTTTCTTTTTATATTCCTTTTTTTTTACCTTCATAAAAATGTATCTTTACGAAAAAGGAAAAAGAACAACAAGGAAGGACAAGCAAAAGCAAAAGCAAAAATATTTTAGATGAAAATGAAAGAAAAAATTTTGTTTTCAAGGATAATGATGATGAAGTTTTGTTTAAATGGTTAATTACTCACTATTGTTATCGTTTTTTTTTTTTACGCTTATTTTTAGATATATATTTTGTTTATTATTACAGTTCAGCTTGTTTCGCGTTAATCATAGTTATTTTATTTTATTTTTTTTTTTTTTTTTTATTAACGAATCCTATAATAGTTCGGACACATTTCAAATACTGCGTGACCGATTAATCTCTAATCGCGGATTACAAATGTTTTCTCCGTTTTTTTTTTTTTCTTTTTTAATTACTTCTTTCTTGCGATACATTTATCGAGGATTGATAATAATTTTGTTGTTTTCTTCTCTTCATCTTCATCTTCTTCTTTTTTTTTTTTTTGGTTTTTCGTTTACGTTTTAAATCACGATTTACATTTTACAAGTGCATCGGCTAATCGGTGAATTGGAAAACTTTTGTGGTTTTACGACGATTATTACACATCGATTATTTATATTTATAGCATCTCTCGCGCGCAAAAAAGGGGGTCTTTTTAAAATATTTTTTTGCCACGGGGCAATTATTATTATATAATTTTTTTTTTCATTTTTTTTTTTTTTTCATTGCCATCGTTCTCGTTATAATAGCGGTTACAATAATAATTAAGAATAATCATATAATAATCATAATATATGTAATAATAATTCAATGTGACAACGCAACATATATTATTATGTATATATATAACACAATGGACATTCTCATCTATAGCTTTAACACATTTATGAATGCGCATTTTTCAATAATAACAATCGTAAAGATTAATAATAAACGCTTTTAGGAATATTTCATCATAATTTCTATGGTGATTTAACAGTTAATCGATAAGGAGTAATAAAACTCATACGTTCGAAAAAATTGCTTGATGTTTTTACGTTGAAATCATTGATGTAATAATGAAACTTTCGAATGTATCAAAATTGTGAATCAATGTAAATGAAAAATTATAAACAAATCCCCCATCCTTTACAAAAAAAAAAAAAAAATTAAAAAATCAACACCTAATGTATTGTTCAAAATTATTCTCAAAAATACATTTAATCTTCTTCGAATATTTCATTATCGCAACAATTCTTTATTATAATAATTAATCTCGTGCTCGTTGAACAATCGTCCCATTCTTTTATCCATCTTCAACTTATTCATTCATACAAATGAATTATTTGTCCAGTTGACAGCTGTAATCATTCTTTTTTTTTTCTTTTTCAAAAATTATCCACATTGTAATATAAATAAATAATCGAACAAACGAAAAAAAAAAAAAAAAAAGAAATGTGTGTTGATCTAACAACGAGCACGTAAATTACGATGTCGGAATAAAATATTATACCGTTAAATGTAATCAATTATGCGAGTACTCTATTCTATAAATGTATGCTGTTTGTTTATTTTTATTATTATTTTCATTTTCTTTTTCTCTTGTTTTATTTTCTTTCTCTCTTTTACCTATTATTTTATACAATTTCTTCATTATAATCTGTCGTCGTTTATCCCGCACTTGCGTGTGTGTGTGTTAATCATCCTGTTTGTTAATCATCCCGGATTACAGGTAATTTAATTAAACTGTACGCTTACATTTGTAAAGACCAATATAGCTCGTTAAGAAAAATCAGATAATATATATATATATTTATATATGTATGTATATATAACAATTAACGATGACAAATAGAAATTGCATTTGAATCTTATCTCTTCGTCATACTATTCAAAATCATACTATATTATCCCTTAGCTTTTATGTTAGAGTATATACTGTCTTTCTTTAGTTATTCTTCTTCTTGTATTCGTTTAATGTTTAATTATAACCCCCCACCCCAACCCCCTCTTCCCCTATTTATAACGATAACAAATTGCATCCTGTACGTAGGTGGAAAAGAAACAAATCAATCTACGTGAATTTATATCTATAGATATATACGACATTCGTATTTCATCCTATATAACGTTGCTTTTATCTTTTTCTCTTCTTCTTCTTCTTCTTCCTTCTTCTTCTTCATCCAATCCACTCCTATTACCACTTTCGTTGTTCGTATCATCTTTCCCTTTTCCCTTTTTTTTTTTTATTATATTTTCCTTTCTTACGTAAAAGCACAGCGCCCATCATAGTTCTAAGAAACAAGAGAGAAACGAACACCCCCACGCAATTCAACGATTACACGGGATTTGAAAAAGGTTAAAAGGACAAAATAAAACTTACCCCCGCCCCCTCCCTTCCCAGTATTCCCATTTCCCACCCCCGCCAGTCTTCTTCTTCTTCCTACACGCTAATGTTAATCCCCCCCCTACTCCCCCATCTTCTTCGAGCTTCATGGTTTTATATTGTCATTCATCTAACAATAAGTTAGGAGGCTTAATTCTCTAGAAGGTTTGACCATCCTTGGTTCTGATCTTCGTTGATCATCGATCATCGATTATTAATCGATTTTTATTCATCTCAGGATGTTCCAATATGTTTTTCTTTTTTGTTTGTTTTTTTTTTACTTTTCTATTTTTTCCATTTTCTTTCTTTCTTTTTTTTTCATCGTTTCAAACCTATCTTTTTTTTTTTCTTTTTTGATTGAATTCTTACGAAATTTTTTGACCACATCAATTCGATCTTTCTTCAATTATTTTCTTGTTGTTGTTGTTTTTTTTTTTTTTCATTCATCTTCGACTATCTGAGCTTTTACCTAACACGACTTATATACTCTTTCCTTTATATATTATATATAGATATATATATTATATAAATACGTAGTATTTTAATTAGACCTGTGTCTCTTTCCTTATTGTTAATAACCTTTTAAACGTTGTTAAACGTTGGTCTTGATCTTGAAATTATTATTTTTCCTTTTTTTTTTCTTTTCTTTTCTTTTCTTTTCATTTTATTTCATCTTTCCTCGGCACGATAGGCTGATTATCAATTATATTATATTTTGTTTTAATCGAATGAATAACATCGAGATTTATTCGAAGATAATAATCATTAACGTTTAATGCAGCATTATGTTTATCATTATTAATGTCAATTAATAATCATATATTTATTACTTATATTATGTATGTATTTTTTTTTTTAAATATATATATATTTTTTTATTTCCAAACTTTTGTATGTATTCTTGTGTGATTATTATACATGTGGCTAGCACGCATTGAAATCAAGGAGGTTACGTGTGTCGAGGAAACTTATGTTAATTATTTACCATCGACAACAACGTCTACCACTAAAGATTTATAACTTCACATTATTTTATTTTACTTTATATTTTATTTTATTTATTAATTAATGTTTTCATTCTTCCTTTCTTTTTCTTTTTTTGCTTTATTTTATTTTACTTTATTTATTAATTAATGTTTTCATTGTTTCTTTCTTTTTTTTTGTTTTGTTTTATTTTATTTTATTTTATTAGTCATTTAAGTTATCATTAACTTTATTTAAATGTGTATTTTTAAAAGAGTTTCCCATTACACAGAGTTCGAGTATTAATCATTTTTACGAGCTTTCGCTATAATCGAGATTAAATCAATAATGCGTACACTAGTTGGCTCCAATTTCCAATTAATTTAATTCGAGGATGTTAATACGTTCTCGCTTATTATTATTATTATTATTTTAATTATTATTCCTTATTCTTATTATTCTTATTATTAGTATTATTATTAACATTATTTTTTGTTTCTTTCTTTTTGTTCAAACGAATCGTTATTTGCTATTTCATTCTTTGATTTTTTTCATAGTTCGTTGTTTCAACGCGGTTACATTTTTAAACAAATAATCATTGTATTTTAAATTGACGTTTATAATCTTGTAGAAAGTAATAATGCATACCAATTTTAATTAAATGCACGAAGAAATGATACGTGCCAATGATGACATGTTTTGTTTACTTACTTTTATTATTTTGTAAACATACGCACGTGTTTTTGTTGTTTTTTGATTAAATTTAATAATTAAATACTGGTGTTATACGTTTTCCGATTATAAAATCTCGTTTGTCTTTCTTTCTCTTTATTTCTGTTTGTTCATTTATTTATGATTCGTTGATTAAAAAAAAAAAAAAAGAACAAGATTTTTGTTTACATTGTACGATACAAATGTGGTTTCTGTTTATAAACTTGGAGGCGGACGGTGGATATATTCCTCTATTCGGGTAATTTTTTGTTCAATTTCGTAATCCTCGGTTTAGTATTTAATCCATTCATTCCCACTTTTATTTATCTCTTTTTCGTTGAAATGTAAAAAAAATGACGGAAAAAGAGACACCCGTTGGTGGGAGGCACTGAACTGGCAGCAACCGTCGATAATAAACATTATTTTAATTATTATACCCGCCAAACTGATTTTTTTACGTACGTAAAAAAGATTTCTCCTCGATTAGTAATCAAACGAATGCTCGATTATTACCGGCTAAATTGTGGGGTTGAGGATAGTTCGATGTATATACGCTTTTGTTGTTATTGTTTTTTTTTTAAGTTTTTACATTTGTCTTATGTTTAAAATTATTTTTTTGTTTAAACGATCAAAAACGAACGTTTAATTAGCATAAGACAAATTTGAAACTTCAATAGCGTACTCGAACCGATTTAACATTTGTTATTCTGTAATTCTGTAATTCTTTTCTTTTGTTTTGTTTTTTTTCTTGTTTTTTCTTTTTTTTTTTTTTTTAATTATTTTGTCTTCTTTTTTTTTCTAATATGTGTCACGTTCTAATCACGACTACGAAGTATATGTATATTGAAAATACACGTAGGTACGTTTTTTTTTTCTTTTATTTTATTTCGCAACGATCTTCTTAACACCCCATTTTTTTTCACGAAAGAGATATCGTTGCTTTACTCTTTCCTCTTCTTCTCCTTTTTATTTTTTTTTATCATTGTTTTTTTTTTTTTTTTACTT